AGATTATTGAACGTAAAATCAAAGAATTAAAACTACTTCATTAAAATACATAAAATCATTAATTTAATTGTTCTTTCTTTCTGCTTCCTAAGGATGTGAAAGAAGTCCTTCCCATTTAGCTTCCTTTATTTAAAAAAAAAATAATATAGAGAGAGAGAGAGAGAAAGAGACAGAGACAGAGAGAGACAGAGAGACAGAGAGACAGAGAAACATGTTCTGGGGCTTTCTGAATCAAATTCTTCAGGGTCGGGAACACACATGGCAAGGATAAAAACTGAATTTCAAATCATTACAATCAGAGACTTAGCTTAGCTTAGCTCCTGGGGTAAAAGGATCCAAGCTAGTGCATAGGGGATCATCATACAAAATTGGGCAATATTCGGAGATATTAAGGATGGTGCCAGGGTCGATGCTTCTGGGGGAATCCTGCTCAACGTGATTAGCTCTGCATCACAGCATCAGGCATTCTGTCAGTGAAAACTGAGGAAACAGTGGTTCTCAAGGCCAAATCTCAGCTCTATTTTATAATGGAGGTGAGCAGCAGACTAAAAACTGATAAATGTTTGAAGCCCAACTCATTTAAACCAGTCAAGTATTTTGCTCCTTCCTCCTCCCTACTCAATCCTCCCCATTGCAGACTCCTCTCTATCAGAGATGTGAATTCACGATCCCATAACTAGCTGGTTTACATTTCTAGAGAAATAAACCAGAAAAAAAAAAAGAAAATGTTAGATGCTCTGCAAACTGGAAGCTAGTCCTTAAAAAAATGTTTCATTTCATCAGTGAAATTCACCTGTGATTGTATCAGGCAGAATTTTAAACACACTATTAATCTATGTTGCCAGATATACTTCCTCCCAAATGTATACATTTATTCCATTTAACAAACCAGATGGCCTGAAGCATTAATATCATGCTCAGTCATCATTCTTTGTACCCAGTGGACCACAAAACAATGAGACTCAAGTTCTACACCTCACCATCAAACCTGGTCCTCTGTATTCAAACACTGAGTCATTGTGAAAGGATAGTCCTGTTGTTCCAAGGATCCTAACTGGGTTCACAGAATCAGCTGAAGAGCAGCTGATGGGATCAAAGATTTCTGGAGTCTGTTTGGCATCTCCCAGTTTGAGGATCATTATATTCAAACACCTCTCACATGTATTTAATGTTTCACATGTTGAAAATACCTTTGCAAATAATAAATGGAGTCAAATCTTTAACATGGATGTGTGTGTGTGTGCGTGTGTGCTCTTTAAGGAATAGGTGTGAATTTGCTGGAAAGAAATGGTGGAAGTAAATGGAATAACTTCATACATTTATAAAAGAATAGCACTAGAACTCATTTTAAAATATTTACCTCTTTCAGTTCACCTTCAGTATTAAGAAATTCTGTAACTCCACTGATAAGTTTGGAATTCATAAATAATGCTTCTCCATACCTTGAAAGATTACAAAAACATGTTAAAACAGGCAGTAATTTATGAAATACTACTACACAGATTTTTTTAGAATCCTTCTCAAGGGCTCCATTTGACCTGCCTTGTCTTAATGTCATGCAAAGTCTTTTCTCTAGGGAGTTAGGGATGTGCAAAGAGCTAAAAGAACTGTGGCTATAAGATGCCCTCAAGTGCATCATGATTTGGCTCACAGTGTTTCAAAGAGGTCTAAGTTGTAATAAATTTTAAAAAGGGAGCTATCTAAAATTAGATTTAGAAATTACTGTTATAGTTCCAATATAAGGCTTGAGGAAGAACTACTTTAAAACTTCTAACTTTAAAGCAACCTAGCTCACTGTAAGGAAGAAGGATCCTAAAAAAAGAAATACGACTACAGGAAAAACTTAGGGTTTATCAGTAAGTCACACAGATCCTTTGGTCTTGCCAGTCAAAATCTACATTGGTGTTATCCTTTTTTCATTCCTAGAGACTGAGTCAAATTCCTCAAAAATGTTCCCAAAATATTAGTGTTTTTTTTTCATGTGAATACTCAAATAAAATATTGTGCATTCGAATTTCATAATCCTTGTACCACAAGCATAAGTAGCTGACTCATGACCTAAGACAAGGAATACTATGTATCTGTGAGTTGGAAAGATTTCTCGTTTCACTAATTTGTCTCTGCTGTGCCAAGAATAGCTGTCGCAGGCTATCATACTCTTTGAAATAAAAAAAGTGCACTGGACTAAACAGGAGATGAGATCAAGATGGCTGAGTGAACGACTCTGAACTCACCTCCTCCTATGAACACGTCCAAAATACAACTACATGAAGAACCTAAGAACAATTTATTAGTATTCACTGATGATGAAAAAAAACTCAACAAATTGGTATAGAGGGAACATACATAAACATAACAAAGGCCACATATGTCAAGCCCAGTGCTAACATCATACTTAATGGTGAAAACCTGAAAGCATTTCCTTTAAGATCAGGAACAAGACAAGGATAAGACACTCTAACCATCTTTACTCAACATAGTATTGGAAGTTCTAGCCACAGCAATCAGGTAAGAAAAAGAAATAAAAGGGATCCAAATTGGAAAGGAAGAAGTAAAACTTTCACTGTTTGCAGATGATATACTATAGAAAACCCTAAAGGCTCCACAAAATTTAAAAAAAAAAAGATTAGAACTAATAAATGAATTCAGTAAAATTGAAGGATACAAAATTAATATACAGAAATCAGTTGCATTTCTATGCATTAATACTGAACTATCAGAAAGAGAGATCAAGAAAACAATCCCACTTAAAACTGCATCAAAAAGAATAAAACACTTAGGAATAAATTTAACCAAGGAACATGAAAGACCTGTACTCTGAAAACTATAAGACATTGATGAAAGAAGCCGAATAGAACACAATTAATTGGAAAGATACACTGTGCTTATATATCAGAAGAATTAATATTGTTAAAATGTGCATAGTACCTAGAGTAGTCTACAGATCCAATGTAATCCCTATCAAAGTACCAATGGCACTTTTTTTTTACAGAATTAGAACAAGTAATCCTAAAATCTGTGTAAAACCACAAAAGATCCTGAATAGTCAAAGCAACGTGGAGAAGGAAGAACACCACTGGAGGTATCACACTCCCTGACTCCAAACTACCCCACAAAGATACAGAAATAAAAACACATGGTACAAATATTGTATGTTTTCAGTTCCACGGGGAATCTGAAAAACAAAGCAAATGAACACATTTAACAAAACAGAAACAGACTCACAGATAGAACTTGTGGTGGCCAGAGAGGAGGAGGGTGGAGTGATGGGTGAAACAGATGAAGGGGATTAAGAGGTACAGACACCAGTTATAAAATAGTCACAGGGATATAATGTACAGCACAGGGAGAAGTAGCATTTGAATGCCTAATTTTAGGGAGAGAACCAAAATAAACAAAGGCAAGGAATCATGAAGCAACGTGGTTTGTGCCGACCACTACGTGCATTTGGTATTAAGAGGGCATAAATTGTGAGGCTGGGGACAGCAGAATCAAGCAGCAGGGTTCAGAGGAGACCTTAGATTTTTCAGTGTGGTACAGAGCATTGAAAGTTTTATAGTAGAGAAATGTCAGTTTTGCTTTCTAGAGAAGTTCTTGGGACAAAGGGAAGAGGCTACTGTATGTGTGTGCATGCACATCTGTCTGTGTGTCCGTGTGTGAGTGGGGCAGATGCAATTATAGAGGCAGAAGGCAGAATGCTATTGTTAAGAATATTGGCAAGAGGTAAGAACCTGCACTAGGGCAGTTGCAGCAGCAAAGAGAGGAAGCCTTCAAGAAACACTTAGAAATTATTAAACTGATAAGACCTCAAGCCTAACTGTTACATATGGCAAGAGAAAGGAGGAGCCATATGTTGATTTCCAGGTGTCTGGCTTGTGCAATTGGTGAATGGTCATATATTTACTGAGAAAAGGAAGGTAAGAGGAAAATGACGGGTTTGGCTTTGCAGATACACTCCAGTAGGAGACCTCAACAGGCAACTGTCTATCATAGGGTGAAGCTTAGGTGAAATGTCTGAGTTAGAGATACAGTTATGAGAGATTGAAACCATGAGTAGATGGCAACTAAAACAAGGGAGAACCTGCAGGGCAGGAATTGAAGAGAACCTTGGACAGCTCCCCACAAACTTCAACGCTGAAGGACTGACAGAGGAGTAGAAGATGAAGACAATCCTATTTGCAAAGATAAGCACTGCCTTATCTGAAGATATGCTGAAACCTCCATCTTCCTACCTTTAAAATAAATACTTAAACTTTAGAGCAGTTTGAGGTTTACAGAAAAACTGAGCAGAAAGTAGAGTTCCCACATGCCTCTTCTCCCCTCCATAGATTTCCTCTTATTGTTAATGCTCAGTTAATTAAACAAAGGAGTCATTAGACTGAAGTGGTTCCATTGCTGTCTCAGTTTATCTACCCTTTGATTAGAGATCACGGACTCTCAGTGAAGCAAAACAGACACATCAGGAACCAAGCATTTTGGAGCAGGAACTATAAGCTATGCATGCATTACCCTGAACTCTGTGTGTTGGTAGGTGTTTGACGCTTTGAAGTAAAATGCTTGTACGTGTATATTATCTCCCCCTTGTGTCTGACTGTTCACTATACCAGGTGCATGACAGCAAAACAAGTTTTAACCTTCCAATCATTCCAATTTCTGAGCCGAAAATACAAAAATAAAGCCAATGTGCCTTCTAGGAATATCAGTGCTTTCTAACAATGAAATATCTATAGATTGAAATATATTTTAATATGAGATATCCATTCAAATTGAACTCTTTATATGAGGGCAACCAATAAAGGGGTACTTTTTAAAAATAAAATGTATACACCAGTTTTTAAGAGACAGAACAGTAGGTATGCTAACTGTGTGGGGACATTTAAGTTTGAGAACATGCAGCATTTAATGCTCTATAATAAATTTAATTTTAAAATACCATAGATTATCAGAGTAATAAATTATCATTTATTATAATATATTTAAATACATAATGAAACATTTTCTAAAACTGAGGCTGAAGAATTCTCAACAAGGAAGATGTCTCAGAAAAAAAATCTACTGCAACTAGAATTATACAGTGACTCAAATATTTCTTCTCTATATCATGGTTTTATTTTAGGTATTTTATAATATGTATTTTTAAAAATTTTAAACAATTCTACAGAAGTAATTAAAGTTGTCTTATTATAATACTATTATATATGATTCATAGATCATTTTTTAACAACACATTCAGGATATAGGATTTTAATGATATGATTTCTTCAACCTCAGACAGTTTGACAGATTCTTCCAGGAAAGCTGCAATGCTAAACCTTTTCACTCTCCACATTTCCATATATAATTATGGTTATCAATCTTTAATAAATGAATAATGTTATAGAACTGTTAAATTAATTCTGAGTTTCACAGGAGTAGCAACACCCATCCTGGCTGACTACTTCAAAATCTAATTTCTTGTCTGAATCTTGGTTCTAAGAGAAGAAGTTGGGCCTTTATTTCTCATATGTCACTTTTAATTTGCTCACTCCAGTATGAATGATTGAACTCATATTTTTACCTGGTATTTAATATCTTCCATTTATCTCTGAAAAACTTCCAGGCAAGGTCTCGACCATGTGGATTTCGAGCTACATGGATTATCACATCAATTGCATCTTGATCCAGGACCACCTCAGAATTTAGTGATAGGTTCAGAAGCCTTTATAGATAGAATTACAGGGAATTGTTAGTCCAATAACAGACACTGTTTATGAAATTACCAAAAGTACATGGTTTAATTTATCACAGTCTTCAAAAAATAGTCCAGTGTAAACTTTACTAATACAAATTTAGGCAACAGAACAATTTTGTGTTTATAAAAGAAAGATCAAACTCATAGTATTTTAACTAATATAGTAATTTAAGTCTGAAAAAATCTTGTGGGTGGAAAAATCCCAATTCTGATTTGATGATGCAAACTCATTTTTTAAATTCTTTTTAATAAATGCTTCTTTGTATAATGAAAGATAATCTTACATATATATGAAAAAAACCACAAAATAGTCAGAAGTGAAGGTAAGGTACACCTTTCAAATTAATTAGCTTTACTCAGGTTAACATAGCAGTCTTAGTTCTAGAAGGAGATATTTTCAAGTAACTAGCATATATTCAAGGAAATAAAACCAAGTGCAGAACAATTTGTTTAACAGAGGATGTTGCTACATTACAGAAATTTTAAAAATTAATTGACCCACCGATTTAATAAATTCCTGTCATCACTGCAAGTTAAGGCTTCCAATAATATTTTCTTTTCCGAAACCGCTGTGGTGGAGTGGAATTTCATCCAGATGAATTCCCAGACATCCTCATCGAGCAGTGAAACTCCTGTGCAGTAGACGATGTCTCTGACATTCAGTGGTATTCTAAAGAAGCAAGCCAGGGCAGTTTTCTGTTAATTAAAAGCTTCATAGTATTGAAAATAAAGACAGATGCTGCTTTGCTACAGTCAGTTTTTGAAAAGATGGTTTTGTTAATTCTATTTACCTGAAGAAGAATAATCTTACACAGTAACGATGTTCGAAAATATTGGTGACTGAAAAAAATAACGTATTTTATTTAAAGATAGTTCTGATTGCAGTTTTTCCACTCTAGAAGTTATTTTTAAACAAAATTCAGAACACAAAGGCTTAAAAAAAGCAATTCAAATCAGGGTACTTTATATTTCCACTAACATTAATATACTTACTGACCAAAATTTTTGCTCTCAGAATTCACAGACCCAAGAATGACAAGAAAGCACTAGATGAAGAAACTGACTAATTTGGATAAAATGGAAACATTTTCTCCTACATTCTTAGGCAGTTTTTTCCTGAAATGGCTCTCCAAATTTTAGAACCTAGACAATTATTAATATAGATGTTAAACAGATAAAACATAAGTAGTGAATTTTGAGAAAGTAGAAAGTTCTTCTCCCTGATGCTTATAAAAGTGACTATAAAAAAATAGAACACATTTTGACTTTGACTCCAAACTAAATGTTACAGTGGGAAACTGTCAGTGGGTTTAATTACTCTTGGCTATTTATAAATTGTAAGTTCACATGTGTACTTTGCTGTAACAGTGTTTTTTTTTTTTAACTAAATATTGTTCTTTCAAGTTTTAACATAGACCCCACATTTTAAAAACTCAGTTCTCTGAAAGAGCACTCCAATACTTTATAAAAAAATTAGAAATGCCTTTTTACTCTGTGTCATGGTCAGTAATCTATTATTAACATTTCTCATTTATAATTTGAATGTGACTAATAATAATAAGCGCTGGATAACAAGATGAAACAATCCCTTTTAAGGATTTAGGTCCATGTTGGTTAGAACATTGCTTTGGTTAAAGGACTATTTGGAAAACAGAAGGAAGTGTCTGAATGACTACCTGTCAAATGATCTCCATCTTTGCTGTTAAAGCATCTAAGTAGGGCTACAATCAGGATATTGAGGATTGTGTATCAGGACACCAGATAGGTCAAGTCGTTCATACTATCATACAAAATTCGTGGTTCCCAGAAATGGCTAAAACTGTATTATTCTGTCTCCTCCCACAAAACAAAAGAAAAGAAAGGAAGAAAGGAAGGAAGGAAGGAAGGAAGGAAGGAAGGAAGGAAGGAAGGAAGGAAGGAAGAAAGAAAGGAAGAAAGGAAGAAAGGAAGAAAGGAAGGAAGAAAGAAAGAAAGAAAGAAAGAAAGAAGAAAGAAAGAAAGAAAGAAAGAAAGAAAGAAAGAAAGAAAGAGAAAATAAAAGTGTTTGGAGAAAAGTTACTTTAACCTTGCTGACTGAAGCTTTTTATTCTTTGCAGTTTTTGAAGGCAAGCATTTTGTTTGTCTGACTGATTTTTTTGTTTGCTTTTGAAGAAACTAAAAGCATAAGACATCAGAAGAAGCCAAGAAAGAGTTTCACATCTTTCCCTTGTCTTGCCTCTCAGCCCTGCACCCTCTTGAAGAAAGTTCCAGTAACAGTGTTCCCAGTGGTTGGTGAAACCTTGTCCTCCCTGCTCTGTTTATGACCAGCTGGCCCCATGGGACACCTGAGATCACTAAGGAAAACACTGCCACCACACTTTGAAGATTGTGTCATTCCTGGTAAATATAACATAAGATAAGAAAAATGCCTCTGTCTTTACTAACTGGAATAGGGAAGTTAAAAAATCTAGTCTTTCTTGAAATCAACAGCTGGAAAAGAGGATGTCTTTTCCTTCAAATACTAAGGCTACAGAGCACAACACTGCAGTTTTGTAATGACTTTAGCCAAGAGGTCATTATAAACATTTGCAAGAAATAACAATAAAATATCTACTAAAATCATCAACTCATTGATCAATGCATATTAGACCTAATAGTACCACAGCTCATTTTCGAAAAGAAATTCCTTAAACTACTAATATACCAAAGAGTTCAGGGATAAGGCCCATTGAATTAGGTTTGTTACTGCCTCTGAAACCAGTCTCCAACATCAAACAGAAAAGGCATACAGAAATAGAGAAAAGGTGGGGGAAGAAAAAAAGAAGAAAAAGAAAGAAAAGAAGAAAAAGGAAGAAAAAAGAAAAAGCAGATTTCCTTAGAAATAGCTTGAGTGTCACATGCTATGGTCATTAGCAACAGTCCATACGTTTGTAATTCAATAGCTGCTATTGGCTGATGCTGAGCTGTTTAAAATGCACATGCAAATGAGTAAACGGACTGATCAGTCCGAAGTCCTGGACACTGGCTGAAGGGGTGCCAGAAGTAGAAAATCACACCTTTGTGCAATACTCTGCTCCAGGTTACGTGTCTCATTTTATTTAGTCTATACAATAATATCGTGATATCTGTATTATATGCTTCTTTTGGCAGGAAAGGGAAGTCTGTTCCGAGAGAATATTTTGTACTAGCACAACTATATAGTAAGTTGAGAAACAAGGTGATCTATACATGAAAGCTTTTCCCATTTTTATCAGCTTAGAGATGGCTAATGAAGATGAAAATAAGACATAAAGATTTCTATTGGTAGTAATAATCCGTTAGTTGCTGTCCCTGAATGCTGGGTTTTGTTGTTCAGTAAAACTTGTATAGAAAGTAAAAACAAGAAAAATTTTAAATAAAAATAAATGTGTCTTTTAGGAGGGTACTACCATCTAGCTTTGAGCCTAACTAGTAGGCTGCATGGAACTAGCCATGCATCCAATCCATAATTCCCCTAGTGCTGAAGTGGCCACAGATGTCACCGACAGCCTCTTTTTTTTTTTTTTTTCATTACTTTTTAAAATCCACAGTTTAATCAATCTTCTTTAAGAAATAGTCAACGTTGGCAAGAATGGTTTTCCAACAATAAGCATCCATTCTGAAGCATCCATCATCCACTCGGCATGGAAGTGGTCCACAGCCTCTGGGTGACTGAAAGGACATAGGCCAGGGGTGCTTTTAAGGAGCTGCTATATGAAAAGCAGGTCATACACAGAGCAAGGAGAAGAAATCCTGCAAGAGCACCCAGCAATGAAGTACTGGATGAAACAACAGACAGACCACCCTGCAGGAATCTTAACAAAAGTTGTCCTGGGTGAAGGAGGCCTTTGAAAACAAAGCTTCCCAGAAATGGGGGCAAATTCTGCGCTTGAACCAAGAGAAAGATCTCATAATTCGGATGTGCTCCGCAAGAAACCACAGGCCAAGTGTCAGGGTTAACAGCAGCTGTCCCTCTGTGCAGAGCAAATGTATCAAACTTGATTACTATGAAAATGAGACTTACATATGTTTACCTATATAATCTGAAGCCTGTTGATGGTCCACTGAAAAATAGCACTCAGTCTCAGCTACAAATCTCCAAACTCTCAGGAAAGAAATGGCTCTATTAGCAGATGCTGGGAGATACACATGCCTTAAGATTTATAAGTTTCCTCAGAAGAGCAAGGACAGAGGGGACTAGCTGGAAAACACCGCTCTGATTTTTCTAGCATCTCGTCCCAACCCGTCAGCTCCTCATCTTCCTTACCCACCCACTAGATAAAGAACAATGTATAGTTCACCAGATTACTTGTACTCATCACTGGAAATAAAACAAGATGGGTGAGCACTGAATTGCTAAGGGCCCTTGAGTGCCAGTGATTTACATTGTTAATGAAAGCCCCTTTTCTTGCTAAATTTGTAAAGACGATTTAATAACATTTTAGCAAAATGATTGCTCTGGGGACAGTTTTAAAATCTCTTGTAGAAACCAAAGTCATTAGGAACAAATGAAAAAGCTCATTTGTTTGTAAAGCATGATTTGAAAGCCCACAGAACCCATAGTTATGAATAGTCCAAACGGGTCCTGGGAGAGTCTTGATATTAGGAGTACAGGGAGATGGAGCCCCTTCCCCTGAACTTGGAAATTGTTTATGAAAATGTGACTATCCCCACGGTCATTTCTTTCTACCTGCTGCTGCAGAAGTAAATTTTTTCATGGACTTTTACCACGTGGGGATGAAGGTGTGCTGGCTCTTCTCTGTGTATGGTATACATTATATACAGGAACGGGGAGCTCGTCTCTCCCAGCTGCCTTTGTATAAGATGAATGGGGTGATGCTTAACCAAAAGGAAGTGGCTTTATCTTTTCTAGGGTACCAAAAGAAACGAAGAAATGGTTACCTAATCAGTGTAATTTGTACTGTATTTTTATCCTATTCTCATTTGAAATAGCATGATGACAGAGTTCACTTATATGATAAAAGTTTTGAAAGCACGGGACTTCAGTGTATCATTTTGAAATAATTTATTCTTGTATGTTGAAGATATGTTGAACTTTTTTCACCTTGACAAAAGCAAATGCCTAAAAACCAAATGCTTTGGGGTAGAAGTTAAAAAATTAAGTAGATGGGAAAAATAAAGGCATGCAATTTTTAGGGAAATTTTTTTACTGAGTTAAATAATAATGCTGATGGAATGGGACTAATATTTTAAAACATAGCAAAATTGGTACTTAGTAATTAAATGGAAAATTGGGAAGTAGACTGATAAACTAAAACAAACAATGAGGAAAATTTCCAAAGATTTTGCTATGAAAGTTTTCATTGCTGCATTGCTTGTTAAGGAAAAACTCAGGACTCATCTGAAATAACAAAGGCATAGCCATTATGGAAAACAGTATGGAGATTCCTCAAAAAACTAAAAATAGATTTATCATATGATCCAGCAATTCCACTCCTGGGCATATATCCAGAGGGAAGTCTAATTCAGAAAGATACCTGCACCCCAATGTTCACAGCAGCACTATACACAATAGCCAAGACATGGACACAACCTAAATGTCCATTGACAGATGACTGGATAAAGAAGTTGTGGTACATTTATACAATGGAATACTACTCGGCCATAAAAAAGAATAAAATAATGCCATTTGCAGCAACATGGATGGACCTA